TATGTGTGGTGGCTGATTTATGTTTGGTCCACTGAACAGATATGTTCCCTGCCTGTAGCTTTTGATCTGGTGTGGAGGCTGCTAGTTGAATGGGTAAACAAATAGTAGACAGTTGCATATTGTGATGAGTGATAAGCAGGAAATGAATGCATGCAGCACAGAAACAGCAGGGATGTATTTAGACAGATGACCTGTGAAGGCCTCCTGGGAGTGACATTTGAAGCCAAGAGCTTAAGGAGGAGAAGAGCCTAGGCTTTAAAGACTGAGAACAGTGCGGAAAGCAATCACCCAGGAAGAAAGAGCTTGGAGACACAGAGATCTAAAAGGAAGCCAGGATGGTTGGGGCAGAGCAAAGGATGGAGAGACGGCTAGATCTAAAGAGCAGGGGTCCTTTTAAGTGCCCGGTGGGCCATCTGAATTTTATTTCTTGGAAAGTCATTAGATGGCATCAAGCAAGAAAGTGACCTATCTCATTTTATTATTATTGTTTTTAATGATTGCTTCCTTTGTTCTCTTCTACTTATAGATGGGGGCAGAAGCCAGAAGATGGGTAAGAGAGACTAGACCAGATCATATAGTTCAGAGTAGGGTCTAGGTGAATACATAAATTTGTACTGGAAGGGACAAACAGAATGCTGAATAAAAAAAAAGCAAGCATAAGTGATTCAATATATAATAAGAATGTGTACTCCTACACATTCAGTGACCTATAGTTTTACTCACTGGATTTTTCTATCTTAATCTGTTAAAGCAACATTCCCCTCAACCAGCCTTCTATTTCAAAAATTTCCTGGCTATTTTCCTTGCTTCTGTTTATCAAGATAAGCTTTAAAATAATAATAAGCTTTAAAATAATTTTATTTTACTTCATTCTCCCAAATCATATTGGTTGTTAGCTACACATACTAAATTTATAAATTGAGTTGGGAAGATATGGTATTTTTTTTGCAATGTTGAGACTTCCTGTCCAGGGACTTGTTACAAGTCTGAGTTTGGGGAAGTCTTCTTTTAGGGTAAGGCTTTCTAGTTTCCTTTCTAAAGAAGGGCCTTGCCATTTCTTGTTAAGCTTAGGACTAGTATATACCTTATAATATTTATTATTTATGCAGATATATTTTTCCATTAGAATTTCTGAACGAAAATCACTGGCATTTGGTGTTGTAGAGGAGAGACCCATCAAGAATAATACTTCCTCTCCTGAATTTGGTGTAAACAAAGACACAAAAGAAATGGTCCTAGGGTATAATAATACATTTTCCAGGCTGCCTGGAAACTATAGCTGTTGTTCTGTACCTAAATGGGTTTGTTATATTTCTTCTTGAATTAGATATTTATTTCTGCAGTTGCAGGCATTGTGAGATATGAATATATGTACCCCAGAAACAGGTCCACTTTCCTGTCAAAGTACATGAAAATACTTGCTTTCTGTAATTGATCAGCCAACCTCAAAAAGAGAACCCAGAAGCATTTGTTCTTATCTAATTGCGCCTCCTAAATTTACTCATCACTCCTTCTAAACTCACTTTCTAGTTCCCTAGGGTAGAGAGAGGCCCAGAGCCTGACTGTAAGAGAGGTCTCTATCTCTCAAAACAAGTTTTCTCCTTGACATGTAGCAAAACCATTGCTTTTGATGTTTATAAGAGGCTTCCATAAGAAAGTCTATAGTACTTTTAATTGATTGTCTTGATTTGTATCTTATGGAAATACTGAAATTATGAGCAAATAAGGAAAATGTTCTCTTCTTAATATTTGTAGTTCTTGTTTTTCTTATCTTATTGCATTGGCTTTCTTTTGTTTTGTTTCTGGACTTAAGTGAGAATATCTTTACTGTTTCACCATTAAATGTGTTTGCTGATGGATTATGATTAATTTTGTCATGTTAAGACACATTTTCTTCCAGTTTCCTAAAAGATTTTCAAATTTATAAATCACGGACTTAGACAACTATCAAATACTTTAAAAGAATCTGTTAACAATAACCTGATATTTGTTTTCTCTTAACAATGCAATGAATTGTACAGATTCCCTAATTTGAGTTTTGTTTCTACACTCATGGAATTATTATAGTTGTTTATAGTGGGCTTTGAAATATTTTGTAGTCAACGGGACTCAAATTATCAGCATCTTTTTTAGTAGCTTTGCAACTGGTTTATATTTAAGTCTGTTGGTCTGCTGCAGTGATTCACATATGGAAGATTAATTGAGGAATTCTGAAAAGGTCATCCTGGCCCAGATGAGTTTGGGAAATACCAGATTAAGCAAACCAGACAGGTGTTTCCTCCCGCCTCCCCCCCCCATCCTGGCCTTCACAGAGACAGCTGCCTCTCCCCTTCCCCCCCATATATTAACACCTACTATAATTCTCCAAAATGTAGATATACATGGATGAACAACAAGTTATTAGATTACAGAAGGCTTTCTTCAACCGACACACATTAAATTCTCTGGGGTTATCTGCTGTTCTTCTTGGTATTATCTCTTGGTTATTGGTGTCTGTTGTTATGCTAAACCTGGGAAATAAAAACATTTTTATTTTCTTTGCTATGTAACAGCTTAAATGATACAAAGATTGTCTGTCCCCTGACAGTGTAACAGAACCTAACCTACAGGTATTTCTGAGTGACACCGATGCCCACACTCAGGTGGTTTCCCACGGGATGTTTTCTTCAATAGAAAATTCTGCTTGACACCTTTTTGGGAAAAGCCTAGAAAGTGTGAAAAGGAGACTCCATGTATTAGCAAATTGATGAAGGGAATCATTTGTCTATGGTCCGCAGTTCTAAAGGTGTCAGATTTCTGGCCAGAGTCTTGACGAATTGTCTACCCTTCTGCCTAGGGCTGCAGGCCAGGTGGTAGGTGGAGTAACAGGTTGTTTATCATCATCATCATCATCATCATCATCATCATCAACATCATCATCTTTGTTTACAAAAGGGTTTCAATTCAAGTCAATTTATGAATACATCTTGATCAGTGTCACCTCTTCCATTGTTCTCCCTCCCATCTCTCCCAACCCCACCCAACCCCTCAAATTACCTAGTTCCATTTTCCTGTATGTATCTAGAGAATTATGACTGTTTTTGCCCACTGTGCATCTCTGCTTGGTGCAGGGAGAAAGTCTGCTCCTGCCTTTTCCCAGAGCAGGGTCCCTGTTCTGGGTTTCTCTGTTCCTCCAGCCCCATTTCATCCTCTGGCTGGACTCCCTCCCTTTCTCCCCCCCCCCCCTCCCCGCCCCCACTGCAAGGCCAGGGCTCCCACCAGTTAAACTTCTGGCTCTGGGTGCTTCCTTGAGGCAGGCCCCACTCACCTGGCTTCAGGCTTCTGTGGATGAATCATTGGCCCAGCAAAAGGGGGAGGTTGAACATTGCCAGCAGAGCAGATGGGGGTCAATCTAAAAGGCCTGGCTGCTGGGCGTTAGATCAGCTGGGCAGAGGGAAGAGCCAGAGGGGGAGCGGGGTGGGGTGCAGGGCTGGGTGGGCGGCCTGGAGCCCTGGACGAGGCCCCTCTCCATTGCGGGGAGGGGGCTCCGAGGACTGCAGCTGGGCTGACAAGTCCCGGGTACACAGAGCCAGGCCTAGGGGAGTCAGGCGGGCTGGGGGGAGGGGGTCCCCGGAAAGGGGGGGGGAGGATCCCAGAACCTCGCGGCTGCCGGAGGCCGGGGCTCCCAGGAGAGGGGGGATCGGGGAGGCAGGCGGGGTGCGGGCTCCGGACGGACGCCAGGGCTCCCACTCCCTCCGCGCCCGCCCGCCCGCGCCAGTGCGGGGTCCGGACCGGGCCTGCCGCGGCCGCCGCTGTCGTGGTCGTTGTCGCCGCTGCCAGGCCGCGCCCCGCCCGCCCCGCCCCGCGCCCCGCGCCGCCCCGCGCCCCGCGCCCGCCCGGGGAGGCTCGGCTGGCGCTCCCGCCGCGCCGCCGGCTCCGCCGCCTGGGCCCCGGGCCCGGCCCCTCCCGCGCCGCCCGGGCGATGAGAAGCTGCTTCTGCGTGAGACGGAGCCGGGACCCGCCGCCGCCGCCCCCGCGGGGAACAGTTAAGTGAGGCTGGCGGGAGGGCGGGGACCGGGGGGCGCGGGGTGCCCGGCTCCGGGGTGACGCGTGCGCGCCCCGGGCCCAGGGCCCCGCCGCCGAGCGGAGCGGAGCGCAGCGGCCCGGCCGGCCGAGGCCTGCGGGATCCATGGCGGGGGCCAGGCCCGGCCCGGCAGCCGCGCTCGCTGGGCGCCCCCTCCCCCAGCAGCTGGGCCTGCGGGAAGCTGGCAGGGCAGCGGGGAGACGGGGAGGCTCCGGAGCCAGCTGCACCCCCTCTCCTCCCCGCACCGGGGCTGGGGCCCCCGCGAGGCTGTGGGGAGGCGCCGGAGGCCCACCTGGGCTCCGACCCGGGCAGTGGCTCCAGCGGCCTGGCACTTGGGGTGCAGCTCTCCGTGGTCACGTGGGTGCAGAGCACAGTGCACCTGACCCCCTCAGGCATCATTTGGGGGTGGCCAGCCGTTTCTGGGGACCTGGACACTCAAAGTCTAGGGCACCTGTCTATCAGCTGAGATGCTGGGGCCTAGCCTGGAGACTCCAGACCCAAGCTACCCAGCCAGAAGGGATGGTGGGCGTGTTGGTAGGCGCCTGGTGGTCACTCCCGGGCGCCAAGGATTGGGTCAGGAGCTGGCATAACACCGGGGACAGGCCTAGGGACCAGGGCAGACCCAGGAACTTCCCTGTCCCCTTTGTTACCAGCACCCAGCACTTCCTAAATAATCAGATTGTCTTTCTTCCCATTCAAAGTGCCCCTCTTCTGTCCCCTGGCTCTCCACAACCTGTTCAGCAAGGCACTGAGCAGAACCTCGGGAAGGCACAGGGCAGATGGCACTTGTCCCCCCCCCCCCTTTTTATACCCTCTGTCCCCATCGGAGCCCCTGGATTTCAGCCACAGAAGCAGACAGCAGGCCCCACTTCTCTTTAGGGGCCTTTGTCTCTGTTGGTTCCTTCTCCACATAACCTCATTGTATATTTCTCCACAGAAATATACAATACACACCGTGAATAATCAATAAGCACAGTACTTTCTGGTTGTGCCTTTGCCTTTCTCACTTGAACAGGGCTAACAAGAATTATCAGCTGCACCAGAAAAGCCTTGGAAAGTTAGAAGATAAGATCTGTGGAAACCCAGACTAACTGAAAAAACAAAAAACTAAGGGTACCCGGAAGGTTGGTTACAGGAGATGGTGACATCTTTCTTGCTGGGGTACTAGCAGGGACTGTCCTATGCTCAGAATATCTCAGCGGGTATCTGGGAGATGGGGCCTCTTTGGGGTCTTGGGTGCCAACACCCATTGGAGCAGGTGGTGTCAGGGTTGCCAGTTCATTTGATCTAAAACCATTTCATTCCTTCTTTTAGATCCCAGTTAAAGGCCAAAAGTATTTGCCCTGCCCTGGTATGTCACCAGTGGACTTTCTCCACTTTTGGAAAATTGCACCATGGCTAAGGGCAAGGGCTTCAGCCTAACTCATGGCTTTCCCACTTACTGTGTGTTGTTGGGCAAATTAATGAACCTTTCTTGTTCTCAGGTGCCTCATCTGAGGAATGAACTAATGACTGTTGATCCCATTGGGTTATGAGGAGATGTAAGTGAAATACTGGAGGAAAAGTTAGCAAGTGTTATTATTATTTTTTTTTGTTTGTAGCCCTGGGGATTGAACCCAGGACTTCCCACATGCTAGGTGACTGTTCTACTATTGAGCTACACCCCCAGCCCAACTAGTAGTTATTATTAAGAGTTTATTAATTGACTGACCCTAAGAGAAACTTGCTTGCTTATTTACTTACTTTAGAGTGGTTTTATGTTTGTAGTTTTTATTTCATTTTTATCATAGTAAGTGGAACAGATGATTGGGTTTGGAGACTTATGTGGAATATCATGCTACTTTTTAGATTCCCCAAAGACTCTCAGCAGTTCCTCCCTCCCTCCATCCCTCCTTCCCTTCCTTCCTTCCTTCCTTCCTTCCTTCCTTCCTTCCCCCTATTTTTTAATTAATTTTGCCAGTACCAGGGTTTAAACTCAAGGCCTCAACACCTGCTTGACTTGCTTGCTCACCTAGCTCTCTCTACCACTTGAACCACTCCTCCAGAATGGCTTCTTTCTTGCCACTCATTTTTAAGAGAGAGTCAAGTGGACTTTTCTGCCTGTGCTAAACTCAAACTACAGTCCTCCAGATCTCAAGCCTCCTGAGTAGCTAGGATTACAGGTGTGAACCACCAGCACCTGGCTCCCATTTTCTTAATTATAAGGGGGGCATACAAATAAAACCTACCCCAAAGGGTAGTCAGTCAGCAAGGCTGAAGGAGCTAATGTATGTGACTTTTCTAAATCCTACAGATGATAGAGATCATTGTGCACTCTGAGACTCAGCATGCAATGGCAGATTCCAGTTTTGTGGGTACAATACTTACATTATTTGTTGGTGGAGGGTGCCAACAGAAAAAGGAATTCCAGAATATCTTGGCTTTGTTTGAGTTGCAAAACCCACAACCATATGAACACATTGCTAAGGGATCAGAATCCATGTAGCAAAGTAATGGCAGCCTTGGAGTTGAACATAGGAAATGTCAGAGGTGTCGATGAAGATAAGGAATGGCTATGTGGCTGATGTGGTTGGGTTGAGAGGAGGTGATTGGCTGTTGTGGAATGAGCAGAGCCTCCTTTGTCACTTGGGTCATGAAGGTGAGGGCCAGCTTCCAAGAGTGAGCTGTCCCTCCCCAGGCTGTTTCCTTTCCTGCCTATGTTTCCATGGCCCCAGGGTCCTGCTTGGCCTTCTGCATGGGGCTGTCCTAGAGAATTATGGTCTCCCTGTACTGTCTGTATTCAGTGTCCTTGCCTGAGTCTGATCTCCTCTTTCCAGCTGCCTGGGAGGCAAAGCCACTTCAGGGTGTGTGACATTACCTCCCTTGTTGGGGACAACCTGTGGGTATGTGTTTGGTTTGCCTGACACACTTCTGGCGAGAGGCAGAGCTTGTCTAGGCAGAAATGTGAGAGCCCCACGGGCCTGGAGCCCAGGGCCACACACCGGAGCATTGTAGCCCATGCTTCCCCCAGGACTTCCCTGAGGACCACAGCTCCTTTTGTTGGGCTACAATCTGCCCCTGTTTGTTTTAACAGGCACACTTGAGTTGTGCCAGTGCTGGCTGAAATTTCAGAAGCACAATTTCAGAGCCCTTACACAAATTGTTAAACACACACAACATAAAATATACTATCTTGACTGTTTTTAAATCAAGAGATCAGTGGTATTAAATATATCTACATTGTTGTGTAACTAACATCTAGAAATCTTTTCATCTTGCAAAACTGAAACTCTGGTACTCATGAAACAAACAGTTTCCCACGTCCCTTTCCACAGCCCATGGAAGTTACCATTCTACTTCCTGTCTCTGTGAGTTTGATGAGTCTTGGGAACTCATAAAAGTAGAATCATATCACACTGAGTATTTTTTGTGTATATAACAGTACTGAGGCTTGAACTTTGGGCCTGAGCACTGTCCGTAAGCTTTTTTTTTCTCAAGGCTGGTGTTCTACCATTTGAGACACAGCTCCACTTCAAACTTTTTGGTGGTTAATTAGAGATAAGAGTCTTACGGATTTTCTTGTCTAGGCTGGCTTTGAACTGTGATCCTCAGATCTCAGCCTCCCAAGTGGCTAGGATAATAGGTCTGAGCCACTGGCACCCAGGTTGTATTTATTATTTTGTGACTAGCTGATTTCACTTGCCAGACTACCTCCAACGTTCATCATGTGTCAGCATGGGTCAGGTTTATCATCCTTTTGAAGACTGAATAAGGTGTTCTATGGGCTGTAGACCCTTGTGGCTGTTGTGAATTATGCTGCCCTGAACACAGGTGAAGAAGTATCTCCTTAGACCCTGCTCTTAATTCTTTTGCATATATACTGAGAGATAGAATTGCTGGGACAAATGGAAATTTATTTTTAGATTTTTAGGGAACTATCATATTTCCCACTCACAGTATATCAGAGTTTCCAATTTCCTCACATCTTTTCTGATTATATTCTGGGTATTTTGTTTGTTTGTTTTTTCTGTTTTATCATCCTAATGGTAACTTGTGGGTTGCAAACCTAGTGATGCTGAATATGCTTGTTTGTGATTTGAATATCATCTATGGAGAAATGCTAAGTCCTTTGCTTTTTGAGTAGTTTGATTATTTATTTATTTTGTGTGTGTGTGTGTGTGTGTGTGTGTGTGTGTGTGTGTGTATTGTTATCGGTGCTAGAACTCAGGGCTTTGTCATTTCACTTGGTGTTCTTTGCTCATGGCTGGTGCTCGGCCACTTGAGTCATGCCTCCAGTCTGGTTTTTCATTGGTAGATTGGAGATAGAGTTCTCATGGACTTTCCTGCCTGGCCTGGCTTTAAACCTTGATCTTCAGATTTCAGTCCCCTGAGTAGCTAGGCTTACAGGTGAGCGGCACTTGGCTTGATTATTTTTGTTTAGCTGTAGGAGTTCTTTATAGATTGGATAGCAACACTTCATCAGATATATAAGTTGCATATATTTTCTCCCATTCTTTAGTTGCTTTTTCACTCTGTTGGTTGTATCCTTTGATGTAAATTCTAGGTACACTATGCACATTACAATTCTGTAGGCTGTAGGCAGAATACTATGCAATCTTCCAGTTTTATAGAGTAGAAATTCAGCCCCAGTATGGTTTACTTGCTGGGGGCTCATACACCCATAAGTGTTGGGGCTGCAGTTCAAATTCTGGTTCCTCTGACTCCAGTGCTCACAGGCTTTCAATCTTCTGCTCTGCCTGCTACCTGCCTCCCTGAGCTGAGAGCTGAAAGGCAACTTGGAGGAGCCTGAGAGGCAAGGCCATGTGTACCAGTGCATGTGTGTACATGTGTGCTAAGACCACATGGTTGGGTGGTATCAGATTCTGAGTGCCAGTGCCTGTCCCATTGGCAGAGTGAGAAGGTTTGGGAGGATGGGTGATGTGGCTCAGATTTTGAATGGTGGGGTGGGTGTCTAGAGGGGAGGGATTGAAGTATTCTTGTCTTGACTTGAGGTGGAGAGGAAGAGACTGGGAGACATATTCTAGAGGTCATCTTCCATGAATGGTCACCTTCAAGTTCACGCCATTCCTCATTTACTCATCAAACACCTAATAAGTACCAAGCTGTTTCAGTATCAGTTGGGAGCTTTCCAAAATTTCCCCCTCCCCCCATTCCCACTCCCATTTCTGGAGCCAGGGTCTCTGGGGGCGAGGTTCAGGACTGTTTGCTTTGACAGCCTCCCCAGGGGACTCTTATATAAACTTGCTACAGCTGGGTGACTCCTGCTCCCAAATGCAGAACTGTGTCTCTGATGGTGGCTCTTTTATGGTTTGAATATGAAATGTCCCTGCTCATGTTTTGATTGATTGGTTCACAGGACACTTCCTGAGGTAGAACTTAGCTGGAGGAGGAAGATCACTAGAGGTGTGCATTTGGAGATCATACCTGGTCTCTAGGCTCCTGCTTGTGCTCCCTCCCACTCTCTCTTTCTCTCTCTCTCTCTCTCTCTCCCTCTCCCCTTCTCTCTCTCTCTCTCTCTCTCTCTCTCTCTCTCTCTCTCTCTCTCTCGCTCTCTTGCTCTCTGCTTCCTGTCTACCATGAGGTGAGAACCTCCTCTCTCACAAATTCCCACTGCTATAATGACGTTCTGTCCTAATCCCTGGGGCCTAGCAACCATGGAGTGCAACCTCTGAGGCAAAGTAAATCCTTCTTCCTTTAAGTTGTTTCAGTCAGGTATTTTGTTGTAGCAGTGAGAGAAGTCAGTAAAAGAAAAACTGGTGTCAGAAATGGGGCCATTGCTGTATGTAAGTCCAGCTATGTGGTTCTTAAGCTTTTGTAACTGATCGGTGAGAGGAGTTCAGAAATACTTAAAGGTGTGGGCTAGAGATGCCCTAGAGTCTAAGCAGAGCATAGTGGGGGATTCTAGTGGAAGCCCGGAAGACCAAATGCTGATAGGAATGTCGACAGTAAAGACTGTACAAAGCTTTAGATGGGAACAAGGACTCTCTTGGGAACTAGACTAGAGGCCGGTTTGTGTTAGTCTGGCAAAGAATTTGTCTACATTTTGTCCATGCCCTGAGACTTTAAGTGATGCTAAATTTAAATGTAATTGGCTAACTGATTTGGCAGATGAGGCTTCAGAACA